TGTTTAAAAATTCTCAAATCCAAAATGGCGGACGTGGCCTAAAATGATATGTCGGCTCCTTTTCGATGGATTTTTGTGGAACTCGGTGTCTGAGGGTATTTTTCGACCGGAAACTCGAATTTTTACTATGTTTAAAAATTCTCAAATCCAAAATGGCGGACGTGTCCAAAAATGCTATGTCGGCTCCTGTTCGATGGATTTTTTTGAAACTCGGTGTCTGAGGGTATTTTTCGACCGGAAACTCGAATTTTTACTATGTTTAAAAATTCTCAAATCCAAAATGGTGGACGTGGCCTAAAATGCTATGTCGGCTCCTGTTCGATGGATTTATGGCGCCCCCTTACTACATGCCTACTCTTGTATTTCTGTACAGCCGCAAATTTAGGGTCAAGGGGCGCCTGACCGTCTATGGACCAGGTGGAGTTTTTGTCCTGAAAATTTACCTTTAGACGGCAATTCTCTTTATATTTTGTCTATGGTTTTTATGCCCCCCCCCTTTCTCGCGGACTATCTTTTCACTTTTCTTGCCTCCATTTTCCTTCCATTTCCCCCCTTCTTCCTTGCTTTCACTGCCCAACCCTGTTTCCTTTTCCTTTTTTCCCCTTGTCCTTTCTTCCCTTTTTTTCCTTTTCCTTTTCCCCCTTTTTCCCCCTCTATTCTTCTTTCGTGGCGCCCCCCAAAGGCTGGCGCCCGTGTGCGCCGCACGCCCTGCACACGCCCCAAGTCCGGGCCTGTCTCGCGAATAATTAGTCAGAATTCGATCAGTGAAGGATATTCATCTATTAGCGTATGGATTGCGTTTAAAATTAACGGTCGGCCCGTTGGCGTAATTTTCTGACTTCTGACCAGTAAGTCTGCAGATTGGTTCCATAGGAGTGGGCAAGAAAATCGGACAGTTCGCGGGCTGAGCAACCGGGATGACCTGACCACGAACGAGACAAAAAAACTTGCTCAGTCTCTAGACTGGGCATTTTTGCCAAATGAGTGTAACTGATACATACGTCCAGCATTATAAATCTTGAGAAAATATGAAAGCAGATTTACAGATGTGTAGTTATCAAAATTTCTGCCCTTCAAAGCTTTATCAACTTTTTTTTTGCACATTTCGCTGATATTTTTGGCACTCACCTGATTAAGGTGATTCGTCAAGCTCAAAAGAAGTGGTCGAACTGGCATGCGATATATCACATCTTTTAGGTCAAAAATCTCGGCAGATTTTGAATTTTCAGCAAAAAAAAAAAGGACGATAGCCCCTGCGAATGAGCCTAAAGAATCATTCTGAACGCAAAAATCGGCAAAATTCAGACAAATGAAAGCAGGATAGTGTTTGAAAAAAACCTCGCATTCGATTCAGCTATCGATTTCTGTATCGAATGCGAGGTTTTTTTCAAACACTATCCTGCTTTCATTTGTCTGAATTTTGCCGATTTTTGCGTTCAGAATGATTCTTTAGGCTCATTCGCAAGGGCTATCGTCCTTTTTTTTTTTTGCTGAAAATTCAGCTATCGATTTCTGTATCGAATGCGAGGTTTTTTTCAAACACTATCCTGCTTTTATTTGTCTGAATTTTGCCAATTTTTGCGTTTAGAATGATTCTTTAGGCTCATGCGCAGGGGCTATCGTCCTTTTTTTTTGCGGAAAATTCAAAATCTGCCGAGATATTTAACCTAAAAGATGCGCTATATCGCATGCAAGTTCGAACACGTCACTTGAGCTTGACAAATCACCTGAAGAAGTATTTATTTGTTTTTTTTTTTGTTTTGTTGCTGTTGTTAATTTTTGTCCTGCTCAGATAAACAACCATATACCAAAATATTGTGAAACTTATAAGAAATGTCTATCTTGAAAATCAAATTGCAAATTAAGTTCCAAAGGAATTTTACAGGGGAGAGGGGAAGGGATACATCTCTTGTTTTTGTTGTTGATCACATTCTTCTCATTTTGTATTTACTGTAAGACAGCGTTCTGTCTATCTTAGTGGGTAGAACCCGTCCTTTTTTTTATCGTATATTTTTCTTTTTACCTTATAATTCTTAAATAATGTAAAAAAAATCAGACGGAAGTAAAATATTTTGAATTTGAATTTGCTCAAATGAAAATTATTCTGGATGTACAAATGATGTTGAAAGAAGACATTTGAGAACTGGGAAGAGGTGGAAGGCTCAATGAATTCATTTATACTGCGGCATTAGTATTTTCTTAAAATTGAAAAACTTCCCCTTTAGAAGTATTCATAATTAAGAGAAAACATCTAAGTCTTTTGTGTTTTGACGAAAGATATAACATAGATTTTTGTCCTCTAAACAGAGTGTCAAAATTACTCGAATTACGACGATTTATCATATTTTTATTTTTCTTTTTGTGCACAGAGTACCTAATAAATGAAATATTTTGCTACTTCTGTGTTACTTGCAAAAAGCATAATTCTGACTTCTGTGAACGGTGAAATGGATTTCTGTGCACGGTTGAGGTGCATAAAACGCCTGCCATGCATTGAATAGGCAAAAGTAGTTACATCACAGCAGCTGTATTCAATTTTCAAGCCTCGCTGCGCTGCCTCAGAAATAGGACTGATTGTAACATTCAAGAGGAAGGTGCTTGGTCATTCTCCCTAAAAATTTTTTTCCTACATAAGGTTAGTTAGTCAAAGTTAATTCTCAACCACGACGATGGGTACAACAAACTGATTTCTCCCCCAGGACTTTTTACTCCACTATGCATTATATCACTACATATGTATGAAAAAAGCTTTAGGGAACGAAGGGTTTAGAGCATGAATATGCGGAGTGATATTTTCTTTAGAAATCGAGAACCTCATGGTTATGGATACCAAGAAATGGAGGTATCTCTGTTAAAAGGGATGTCTGCGCATCCGGCTTGGAACAATTTTTAATTGTGCAATTTTTAATACAAGCATTTCTTCGATGCAACTGTAGTGTATTTTGAACGAAAAATGTCTAAAAATATAGGACAGAGGGTTCACTGTTGTGTTATTTTGCCAAAAAAATCATTTGCTGGGGGATTCCATGTGGATCTACTGACAGCAACGAGAAATGTGTCCAGTGGCGAGGCATGAATGATTGATTATCGATTTTCCCCATTTGAAGTTGTAGTGATGAATCGATTTTTAAGGTGCTCGTTGCGAAAACCCTGTTTATCGATCCTTTTCCATCGGTTTTAATGGCAGATCAATCGATACATCGCAAATCACGCCACGTCTCTGAATATGTCCCATGCTACCGTGTTAAGGAGGAGAGCCGTAAGTGTACATTTACGTATGAGCCGCGGTAGTAGGTATATGCTCTTATGCGTCTCGAGGATAATTTTAGACGGTGGCGATTCTTGCAAGTCGGCAACACTGTTTTTTCTCCATTTAAATAAATATAAAGCAATCGATTCTAGGTCAGGCAGCCTGTCTCACTCAGAATCGATATATTTAATGGATTTAAATGGAGTATTATTAGTGTTGCCAACTTGCTGGAACAGCCACTGATTCCAGAATGCACTTACTGCTTGTCTCGGTAACTTAAAAAAATAGGTGTTATACACGAGAGATACCTACAGCCGAACTCTGAGTAGCTAGACTCTTCAAAGGTAAAATCACTCAAAAATCATAAAACTCATTTTAAAAACATAAAAAGAGAACCTGATTCTCGGCGACAGCAAAAAAAAGCGACCTAATTATGCGTGAGAGTGGATTTTTGGCAATTATGATTTGTGGTTTTTGTGCGAGTTAATCGTTTACTACTCGGTTGGTTGTGTGTTATGGTTAGGCTCGGACGCTTAAACAAGCGATACAGGAAAATGACACAACGGCAGACAATGTTAGATCTTAAAAAAGCTTTTTAATCGATAAAACATCCATTATTGACTGAACACTGAAGATTAAGAAAATGTGAAGTAAAAGAAACGGAGAAAAACAGGAGTTTAACAAATGGTCAAAATTATAAAAGTTTGGGGAAAACAATTGTTGAAAAGGTTACTTTCAATGTCCTATGATCTTCCGGAGAGGGGAGAGTTCGATTGAAAGTAACGCTTTCAAATCAGTTACAAAAAATCACTAATATACTATTTTACAAAATAAATAACAAAAATAATTGAAACTAGAAAAAAGTTAAATGATGACAAAGTGACAAGAAGTAACAAATGAAATATTAATGAAGGGAACAGGAAACCACGCAACTAGCTTTTACGTGTAATATATGCTACATTATGAACATTTAGGAATTAAATATCGAATTAAAGGCTAAGATTTTTTAGCCCTTCACTGTGAATAACCTATTTTGGATTACGGTCTATGAATTAACGCTAGGTATTGAAATATTGCAAAGTGAGTTTGTCGGGGGCTCATAAAAAAGGTCGGAGAGAAAATAAAACCCAATAAAGACTTTAAATCATAAGTAAGTACCTACAGATGAAAGAGAAAAAAAACGAACAAGTAATTTGCACAATATAACAATTGTAAAAAACTTCTTTACGATTAACTTTTAATAATAAAAGAATTAGACACGTAAGTTAATTTTTTGGTTCAAAAATTAAACATCCCCAAAAATCGCGAACAATTTTGTTGAAGAGGAAGAATAATAAGTGAATGAAAATATTATGCGTGAACATAAAAATAAATTGAAAAGAAGTATGATGTTTACAAAAATTCACAATAAAAAAAGATGAAATGACGTAAAGTGAGTACATTACAAATGAAATTAGTCCTAAATATTTTAAAATTAGTCATCATTTTTCAGACAAGAGAATAAAAATAATGAAAATCAAAATAATAATGACGATAATATAATAAAATCTAATTTTTAAATTTCGCTTTACATAATATAAGAAAATATAGAATTTAAGGCAAATTTTGGTTAAAATTACACACAATTAAATATTTTTAATTAAATAATTTTAAATGTTGCTTAACAATTTTAAAAAATAACATAAGGCGCAAAGGTGCTTTTTCATTGGTTTGATTTTTTTTTTCATTTCTTTAGTTTAAATTTTTCCTATTTTCGAATAGCTTGTACTTAAGTGAGGACAATTCAAGTTCTATATATTTTTTTCCGAAACACAATTTTGATGAGACTTTCCTCAGTATCGCCGAAACGTAAATTTTAATAAATCTATGAAAGCCAAAGTTTCTTATTTTTTTCTATTGAGGAAAGAATGAGGAAACTCTAACTGAAATTTCAATTTTGAGCAACCGGAATTTTCGAGAGCTTTTGGTAATCAAATGAAAAATTGTGGAAACCTAAACATGTTTGACTGTAATCTTGAATGCTATGTTAAGAGCACCTTAACTGTAAATGGAAACCGGAGAGTGTCTGCAAAAAATTGGCCAAAAATATTGTGTGCAAGAGAAAGAAAAAAAGAATGAAAAAAAAGAACTGATAAGAAAACGCAAACCTATAATATAAATCATCCAAAATGATCCAAAAGTATTAAGTAAATTATAAGAGAAAAAAATCATACTGAACCGATAAAAGACACGAGACAAAGTAGAAATAATTGAATAATGAATGAGAAACTAAATCACCTTTTATTGATGAAACTCGATGTAGGTATGTGAATGTATAAAAGTGGACTATTTCATCAATTTGAGAATCAATTTCCGGGATTGAAAGTCCTGACAGAGGCCATGAGTTCCTGGATTGTCATAAAGTAATGGTGATGCGTTATTGCATGTTCATTGGGCAGCATCGGTAAAATTTATTTTAGAGAGTTTTAGCTCTCCGCATTTTCGAAGCTCAGTTCTTTCTACCACCCATATGCTTGAGGATATGCTACACATTGTTACTATTCTTATGAGAAATTGAATTTGGAGGCTAGTGAGCGACATTCATAAAAGACGAGTACATCACAATGAGGAGTCGCGCAATTCGTCCTTTTTTTTATTATTTATTTACGTAATTCGTTTATATTTTCAACTCAATCTTAATTATGAAGGAGTCTTGACGTTAACTTGATTCTTTGCAAATCATCATTTTTATTGGAAGGGATTATCCCTATCACATGGGTTCTTTAGCATGAATAATAATTTTTTGCCGAGGAACTCATAGCCCCACAGGGAACATCTTAAATAAAACCGGATGTAGCGTTACCAAGAGTAAATAGGTTCTGTAAATGAAAAATAGGATGGAATTATGAGAGCAATATTGTGATATCGTAGAGTAATTGAAAACGAAAACATCAAAGTTTCAATACGATTATTTGATGAATGTCGTGATCTGCCTGCAAATTAAAAGGGAGAGTAATACTAAGTTTTGAGGTCGGTGAGCATGAAAGTGATGAAACTCAAAGAGCGTGAGTCTGAGAACAAAAAGGAAACCAGAGTTTGAAAACTTTGGTTGTCAGTATTAATCTTGAGTATGAGAGAGAACGGACTGGAATAAGGAATTATGTTGAAAAATCACCGTGACAAATAAAACAGAGACAAACAAGGAATTGTGTAATATTAACAATCGTATCTACGCGGAGAAAATATAACATGGAAAACTTAATATTAAAGTAAATTGGTGTAAAACGGAAAACCTTATCCTTACAACTTACTGAATAAAAAAGAGGAAATAAGAAAATGGATTGCACATTGAAGAGTATAACCAGCTATGTACGATTATTCAATAGTATACCTACTGATTGTAATGGAAATTCTACAACGTCTGTCTAAAACATACTGTATTGCAAATGAAATATTGAGAAGAACAACATAAATGATTGAGTTCTGGTGGGCAGTATTTTTCTCAAAATATTGAGGACTGCGCGGCGCTCAACAAAAAGACCTTTTTATCATCGTCCTTGTGTTGAGAATTAACAAATATTGGAGAAAATTCCGTGTTTTATCGACGATAGCAAGCCAGTACTTTTTCCTTTTGGGATTTTGTTGTGATCAGATAACGTCCTCTGGCGGAGCAGCCACGTTGGATTTTAGAAGTTCCCCATGCGGATGTTATTATAGGAAAAAAATACAGTTCCAGTGGTGACACTGATCATGGAATACCAAAAATCCAAAATTTCTACTGCAGAGTAATCATCATATTACAAATTAGGTTTCAGGTGCCAATTCCGTATTCACACCTTTCCTTGAAATGTCAATGAAAAATCAACAACTCCATAGGAGAAAGTACTTAGCTTTTCCAAGTGAGTATATAAATTGCTACGTGTACTTGACTTATCCTCTTGAAAAGAAATACATGTACGTGTATTGTTACATGTATTTCTTGATTTTATTCCGTCCTCAGCCTCCACAATTTCTTGAGCCATGGGACGGCAGGAAGATGACTGCATGAATCAACGATGGATTTTGCTAATTTAATTATGATAGGGGCTTTTAGAGCACCAGGAGTGAGGGATTAAGATCAAAAACCTTGGGCCATGGACCAAAAAGTATGAGCATCAGCATAGACAAAATCTGTGGCGTATACTTTGTACCATTGTTTGTTTTCTCGAAAACATTTTCGTCACCGTTTCGTGCCCAAGATTGAAAGTCGAAAGCTCAAGTATAATTTTGAGCAAACTTTCCTAGGTTCTTTTTTATTAGAAATCATTCTCACACTCTGGAATCATTGATGTGTTGCTTCAATCCCCTGTGATCTATCAGGCTGCATGTGCTATATTGGCTTGAGGACAGAATAAGAAAATTCATTTAATTGGGGACTAGTCTATCAAATAGTGTGAACAGATTTTCACAGATACTTTTAGTTAATTACAAATGTATACACAGGTACGACATGTAATAGGCCATTTCTTTAGTTTTGTTTTTATTTTTTATTTTTTATGACACATGCCCCACATTGAGTGATTAATCGAAAAATATTCGCATGGAGTTCACTGGAAATTTGGAGAAACAAAGCACAGTGGACTAATAACTTAGAACCACATATATAACTTAGGTTTTATTTTTATTAATGCCAAGCAAATTTTGCTCTCTCGAATTGCCGAGTAAAAATTTATTCTTACTATATTTTAAGTTCTTTCCTTTTTGTTAAATTGTGATGCGTGCTAATTTTGAGTTGCAACGATTTCATTAGAAATTGAGATTATTAGGTATCTTACGATTAGTCGCGATTTGTTTTTCGACCGGCTTTGAAATATTATGCCATGTAGCATAAGGAATAACATAGTTAAGAATGTATAATTCTTTGCGTATTTTGATGAAAATGAAAAATTTATACTGTTCAAGGAGAGGTCTGTGTTGACATTGCTTTTTGATCAAAGATGTTGTCATTTCAATGTAGGGCTAGAGTCGTTTTTTCAAAAAAATAAAAAAATAAAAGGAAGAGCTCTACTACATGAAGTAAGTTTTCATATATACATTTATGTACTTTGACTATTCCTTAAAATTAGTGTTTAAATCTGTAAACTGTATTTGAATGAACTGAAAACAATGTCAAGTTGAATTAATGGTTGCTCATGTCTATTGAAAGCTTAAGAGGTGATATTTCAATTAAAGAACATTGACCAGACTAACAAGACAATGGAAGTCTCTACTTTTTGCACTTTTCAAATTCCATCGCAAAATAAGGCGGGTCTGTGTTATTGCACAAAAATGAAAACTCAAACACACCAGCCACAAAAATGTCAGAAAAAAATATATATAAAACATGAAACAAATATAATGACTAAACATTCACATGATATATTTACATCGAAATAATAATTGATTATCAAGAGATTTTGTTTTAAAAACTACCGGAACATGCCATTTTTTTTTAGAACTCGCTTAAGTGGAGCAAAGGAAAACCAAGTATGGCTGATACCGAGTCGAGACAACACACCCGTAGGTGTTCATAACTCACCGACATCAAATTGCAAGATCGCTTACTTTAACATCAGTGAATTTTGAAATTTGAATTTGCTTACTTATTTGCGTTCATTTTGGTTATCCCATATCTATTGATTTCCTTTCCTGTCAAAAAAAATGCCACTTAATTAATAATTTTCCGTTAGCTTTTCCATTTAGCTTTTTCTATGTTACATTTGATGAGAATGTCGCCATCGAAACCAATGTGTTCTTCGTCTTTCCAATGGAAGCGCTTTTTGAAAGTCGAATAAATAAATAAGTGTGTGTCCTTTTACATTGAGAAGAATGCGCACATTCAGGTGAAGATGAAACGCACTTCGTGATTGTAGAGAGGATCTGAAATCTGAGAAGTACCTTGTTTTGTTAGGCTATTGCTCTTGGTATTCGTATGTTTTTCCTAAAAGTAGATTTTTCCCTTTAATTTTTTCCTAACGGTCAAAAAATTAATTAAAATTATAGCTTTGCGACATAACATGATTTCGGGTGTTTATTTATTTTTATTTACGCAAAAGTTCAAAAAGATACTTGCACTCGTCATTTTGAAATTACATGGATGGTGATCCATGTGCTTTCCCTCAATAAAAATATAGAAGTATAAGGGTTGAGCAGGGAAAATATAAGATAAAAGCGTGTGAAACCATAGTGAAAAAAATAATAAAATCAAGGAGCAGTTCTTCAAATCGATGCACACTGAACATTGAAATCAAAAAAGAAAAAGAAAAAATATAAATTTGTCAGATTAGACTTCATTCGCTATGTCTTCATTCTTATCCATTTCTATTTCGATTTCATCATTTTTAAACGATCTGCATAAATGTTTCGTTTTCTTGGGAGCTGATTCAGGATTAAATCTTATACACCTGCCTTTTGTCGAAGATATTTACGATAAATGCATGTCAAACTTCCTGATGATAGGTAATTTTTCCTTGACTTTTTTTCCATCAATTAAATGGAGGAAAAAAATCGTTTGAAAATGTGACTGATTTCTCAGAATTCAATTATACACGAAAAATCAATTAAATTCGAGGATTCTCCATTTCTTCGACGTGTAACTGGCGGTGGGATTGTCCATCAAAGCAGTTTGTAAAAGCTTTAATTTACTCAAAGAAATTAGAATGATATTCCCATGTAACTTTTGATTATCCATTCTTTGAAATCAGTGCAAATTAATTAATTTGGTTTCTTTTTTCGCTCAGAGATGACGCGAGATTCTAAAACATTTCTAGAAGACGTGCATATCCTGCCCATCTCACATTAATTATTGAAATGAATTTACTAAAATTCAACAATGAGAAAAGCAAGTCAGATCCTGTTAACCACCAGGAATACTTAAAAATGAACATCCTTTCAAAATTAGTGCCTCATTTTGTCGTATTATATTGATTCATTTACTCAGTAGTCATTCTTTCAAATTTAACAAAATTCAGCTTGGTAATTTAGCCTTTAAATTTAACTTATGTTTTGACTACTTTGATTCATGCGTAATTCTTCTTTTTAATTAATTATCTCTACAAAATACTCTTGATTATCAAAAGCACTGATATAAAGTTCCTCAGAATACGAATGTGCAGTTTTCGTAAATAAATCTTCGCTATTTTACAATCACGTAGTAATGCGGGGTTTTTATTTGTTTGTTTGTTTGTTTGTTTGTTTGTTTGTTTGTTTGTTTGTTTTTTTATTCTTTTGCCTACTGTAAATAGTGTTTCAAGATGTGTTGATGTCTGGATGGCAAAAATTAAAAAAAAAATGATTGATTGGGAGAAACGTAAATCAAGGTAAAAATCAAAATAATAACAAAACAAATAAATAAAATAAAATATTTTTCCATATATTTGACTAGTAAAACTTTCCACACCATAATAAAAATTAATTGAAAAAATACAGAAAATCAAATAAAAAATAAAATTATAGTGAAATGAGATTGAATAATAGATGATTTAAGATTGATTTTGTGTGATGGTGCAATTTCTTAAAATTAGTCGAAGAAAGCAAGAGAGAGAGAGAAAAATTAACAGAACAGAGAAGAAAATCAAATAAAAAAGGTGCAAAAAATTAAAATAAATAGTAATTACTACCAGTGAACTGCGAAGAGAATATTGTGAACAAAAAACGGTGGTGAACATTTGCGACGCTACAGGGGGATGGGTTTTTCGATATTTTGATATGTTTAGTGTTTATTTTAAATTTAGATCAATTGATTTACTCATGTTGAGTCAGCGGATTTTTTCTTGTAATCGAATTTGAAAATTTTGAACTGTAACGACAAATGATCTGCAGATAATTTAAATGACTCAAAAATTACTTTAAGTAAAACATGATCTTATTTAAATGTTACATATGATACAGTAGAGCTAATAAGTATACTAAAGTTGACGTAAGTTTTCCCCAGCTACTAGAATGATGCATAGAAGAACGTACCTAAATCAATCTTTAAGAGCATTGAATATTAGGAGCATTTCTGATTTGTCAGATGACACACCAGTTTCCAGGTGATGTTTAGAGATCCGAAAATATTTTTAAAGCGTTCAGTCTAAAAAAATATTGCACAAAAATAGAGGGGAAGTTGGGTTCAAATTTAAAAGCTCTAGGACGGAATAAGAGAAGTCCTCTTGAGTTACATAGGCAAGCTTGCTGGGACTGAGAAAATTCCGGCCCACAAGACAACGAGACAACATTAATTTTGACTCATGTTTTACTCCGTAATGCGTAAAATGACACATCAGTGAAGGACGTAGTCAAGTTTACAGAGCTGAAATAAATCGGAAATTGCGTACATAATTTAATAAAGATTTGTAGGTGATAGCTCTATTCTATTTACTTTTAAAAATAGCACAACCGCACAAGGTCTATAACGTGAGGTCATGCAGATGAAATAAATTTAATGGTTCACTGTTATCTATGGAAAATCATGTATTACTTAAAATATTCTTCCTTTGTAGAACGAGGGTAAACATTTAAGGAGAGCCTTTTTTGAAAACTATAGTTGGGATGAACGGTTCTTCTTTCTGTATCAATTAACTAAAATTATAAATGAAGAAATTCAAAATAATATTGTAAATTCAACAATTTAACAGGACTAGTTCAATGATTTCTATTTACAAATCTCAGATATGTTTAAGCGAGTGCAACTAAAATTAAATAAAATAATTTAATGGAGGTCGATAACCACAAAATAACAAATTATAAATCAAACCAATTATTTTAAAATTGAGGCATTGTATGTACAAAGTTAAAAAAAAAAAAAAAAATATCGGATGGATTGAAACTTTTGCCTTGTTGATATCTCATTCAACAAAACTTCTGACCTATTTATGTACAGAACAAGATAATCTGATTTAAATTAAGTGTTTTCAATCAGTGCTTTTATTTACAGGTTTTATTAAATATTTACATTATAAATTTAAATGAAACTAGGTACTCTCAGATAGATGCATTGAACCCTTCATCAGAATGAACGCAAATGGATTAGCTGGACGACACTTTTTTTTACAGAATAGGAAGATAGAGTGGACATACATTTATTTGTTAATTTAACCGACTGAAACCTAACTATCGAAAAATAAGTTTTCAAAAAGTGGTTTGGAGAGGAAATATTTTCGTTTCCCGAGTAAATATTCACTGATGATAATGATGTACTTTGCATAAAGGAAAAGAAAATGACATTTCAAACGAACTCGCAGTTGACATCAATAGGTTTTTAGGGATGATCATTGTCTCTCATTGGTTCGTAAGATTAGATTAAAATATAAATATTCGTACTAATACCTACGACTGGGTGAGGAATATGGTTAAAATAATGTTAACCCGCCAGATTTTACGACGCAATAGAGAAGCACTAAGGATGGCAGTCACAAGACTGATATTATCTTTTCCTTAGGGGAACATAATGCTTGGCATTATGACAGAATTATGTGGCAAAGAAGTTTTTGCTAATTGTAAGTTATTGGGTCACTAATTAATCATTTCAGGTTATTTACATTTTTACAGAAATCGCCTTTGGAATAACTAAACAATAAATACATACAATATCCAATGGATTTTAATTACAATTTTAATGCATTCATGAATGCATCTTTGTGCTCCGATCTCTTAAAGATCTTTAGCTATTTTACTTGTCCTTTAGGTATTGGGGGAGAAGGGCTTCGCCAGGCCTAAGATTTAAGTTGAAATATTGGACGAGGACTTCAGGAGCCTCTCTTTCGAGGTTATCTCATACCCTAGGCATAAATTTTACACTTATTAATGAAATTAACGCTCAATCGAAAAATGGCATTATATCGAAGCGTAATGCACCTTCTCAAAGTTCAGTCATAATCAGTCACTTATCCCATTTCTCCTTAAGAGTATCAGGAACAGCATTTAAAGTCTCAACGACTTAATTTGGAACTGCGATTGTAATGTTGCAAAACTGAGAATTATCTTCTCCAGGTAGGTAACATATCTATAAAAATAGGTACAGCATTATTTACAGTTAAGCTTCAATTATTTTTTGAGTCTCTTCCTTAAAACGAACAGTGTACATCATCGGTTACATATTAACAAAGACAACAAAAGTCTATGTACAAAAACATGAGTGAATAAAGGAGTAAAATAAATAATCAATAAAGGAAGCAGAACGTTTGCTTTCTCGAAAAGAAAAGAAAAAGAAAATCATGTACCTTCTCGTATTCAACGTCGATTCAATTATTTATTTTGTGTGTTTTGTCTGTTTATTCAGTTTCTTATTTATTGTCTTTGGCAATTATTCGCTAATAATTTAACTTGAACAACATATTCACTAAATCAGATACAGTTTACAGATGTAAATGAGGAACTTTAATTTAACATTTATAAAAATCAGTATAAATATCTCACAGGGGGCTGCTTTCAGAGCCGCAGTATTGCTCCAGCTATTCAAGTTGCTCCAGGAAGTTGGGAGTCTTGAAGTAGTCCGGAACGGGATCGTCCAGCCTAGAAATGATCTTGTAGATAGCTTTCTTCCACGACTGCTCGGAATCCTTCCCTGTTTGGATGGCCTTGAAAAATTCCCGTAACGTTTGTTCCACCACATACCGGAAATTTTGAGGGACCTGTAAACACACATGTTTAACTTTAAAATATTGCAATATCGAGCATTCGTAAAAAACAACATACTTCTCCAGTGGCGTGGCGTGAATTTCGATAAATCGATTGTCATGCCATTTAAACCTATGGGAAAGGATCGATTAACAGGGTGTTCGCAGCGAACACCTTAATAATCGATTCCTTGACATAGGTTTAAATGGCATAACAATCGATACATCGCAATTCACGCTACGCCACTGCAATTTTCTATTATAGTTCTTTTCCTACTATTATTCCCACTTTTTCAGGATATTAAAAAGTCAAAATAGCGACCTTCAGTGGAAAGAGTATCTGTTCGAGGAGCTACACCTAAAAATCAGGCATAATAGGCCACTGAATAAATAAGTACTCGAATAATTTGGGATTTTGCGATGAACACATGCAATGCTCCTGAGTGCAGTGATAGAACTTTGAGGAATATTCCGTAATAAAAAAGTATCAAAGCACGTTTCTCATATAAGTTAGTATAATCAAATTTTTTTGAAATTATTCAAGTCGCTAAAATTTCGCCGATAAGTATATCAAGCGATTTTCCAAGGTTTAGTGACGGATGGAAGAATACTTCGTATTTCATAAGTATCAAGTCACGTTTTACATATGAGTTATAGTGGGCTCAGGATCCTATCTTATTCGCTACAATTTCGTCAATACAAATATGTCTTTCTAGATCCAACATTTTGAAATGCGTAATTAAATAGAGCTGAATATACTTGAGGATTGATTAATATCTCGTTTGGATTTTGAGTTTTGGGGCTCACTTAGCGCAGCTCTGAGGACACATAGTGAATAGGATATTTTGAGGTAGGCAACTGATTGATCGGGACAGGGTCACATGGATGGATCTAGGGAAGAAATCTTAATTAAAGCGCACCTGTAGACCCCATACCTCAATGTGGTTGTTCCTGTTGTAGTGGAGGTTGAGTACCCTGTAGATTTCACAGTCTCCGCTAACGTGCAAGTCGTCGGCATTCTTCACACCTTCGCTCACTGCTTGTCGCGCATACTTCTCCATTTGAATGTAGTAAAATTCCCTGTTTCAACAAAACAAACGAAACATTAAGTATCAGCATCAACATTTCAACATTCGTTCAAACACATAACCGCAATGAAGAAGTCAAATCATACATAAACGTTCCAAACATTAACTGTCCAGACTCTGCCAATAAAAATGAAGGCGCGGTGGATGAAAAGATATGCGTAACGATCGGCTCTCCCCACTTTCTTCAGTCAAAAAGCTCAGATGAAAGACCGACCAGTCTTAATTCAGAGAGGAGAAAGTTATTGGTCAACGTTTCTAACTTTTACCTTTCTCTATAGAACTTACAACTAGGCCAGACTTATTTCAATTCCACTTTCTTTCAAATAATTTTTTGCAGGTTTTTATGAGCGTGGGAGCATGCAGAGAGAGAGGACGGTGGAACCTGACCGTTTATTTGTTTAAGTCGAGGAGAGACGATTTCCATCGAAAGAAAATGAACACTGGAAAAAAAAAACACACATTGGATCTAGAGTCCAGTCTCTTGAAAACATTGACAAGAAAAAGGGCTCTTGATTCAATCAGATTTAAGCTGAAATCAAAAGGGAATCCGCTCAAATTAAGAGGCTTGGTTCTTGATTTAAGCTTAAATCTGATTGAATCAAGAGAATTTTTTCTTGTCGGTGTTTTTAAGAGTCTGGACTCTAGATCCAATGTGTTTTTTTTCCAGTGAAACCAAAAAGAGGAGAAAGCTCTAATTAAAGTTCAGTTATGTAACCGAGAAGCGAGAGGGCAGCAGAAACGATGTAGCTCAAGTCGAGCGCAAAATATAATTCAGGAGTGGCCCGGAGCGACTTCTTTGCGCACAATATGGGTTGGGGATGATAATTTTCACCACAGACCACTTGCCCTTGCTTGGTATCTTTTCTACTAAGAATGAGCTTCGTTAATTAGAACTTGGGAGAGAACTCCGGGAAGGCGCGTCGATTCAGCACACCTCAATAGGAGCAACAAAAAGATGGGTCTCGAGGCTGCGAAAACGTCAAAAAGTACTCGCGTCATTGTCGCAGGCGAGTCTTAAAGCATTTAGAACGACACTTTTCGAGAACGATTCTAATTGAGAGGTCGAGGCTCGGCTTTTTCACGGGGGCGCCCGCGCGGACCCGAACCGAAAATCATAGGCATAACTGCGATAATATAATTACACGCTAAGTCAGGGGTTGATTAAAACCTGCTACTTTTTAATTAAAAGGTGTCGGTCGGGAACAATACAGGCAACTTACTCTGCTCAAAGTGGCAAACGGCTTACAAATGGCTCCACTCTCAGCTTTAGCTCCTGGTGCCGCCATCGCCCAGTGCCACCTTCCGCCGCGCCCGCCTTTTCGCGTACCCCCGCTCGCGCCGTTGCGAAACTTAACGCGAATCCTCGGATCCCCCCGCGGTGAGCGACGAGGTTTACGAGGAGACCTGGCAATGCCCCGTGCTTGGCGCTTGCAACGAAAACATTCGCGTTTCAGTAGATTTTAGATTAGCTTTCACGGCTGCGATGACGGCGGAGTACGGGTCGGCGCGTGTCGCAAACACGTTCATTTCACCTCGGATAATTTCGTAGCGCGGCCGCGGGAAAGGAGAAAAGCTAAGGAGAAAAAACGCATCGGGACCCTGGCTGGAAACCGCGCGGCCCCTGAAAGAATCCGCGCCCTTTGAGCGGAATCTTTCATTTTTGATTAATTTATGCAAAACAACACTCAGGCGTAGCCGCTAACTGAATTCAGACCGAATTAACGTGCCTTTTTTCCCTGTCCCGTAACCCGTGGAGACTGTTTCCATCCGTTTTGAAAAAAAAGGGACGCTGGAGAGGGAGGGGGAGGGGGCTAGACCCGTTTGAAATGAATCAACGCGGTAACACTAAGTGGCTCCACCTCGGAAAGGAAGTTTAATTTCCTAGTAATTAGTTTACTTGTTACATACGTTCGTTAAGAATATGCTTGAAAGATGGGACGGATTCATTTCATCCCTGACTTTTTGTCCGCGGGAATTTACGATTCCATTCGAATGCAGTTGCTTCGCGAGCATGTTCGCACTTGGGTTCATGTCCTTGTTCCTACTTAGCTTGGTGGTTCTTCCACTGGGCCAGTTCTTTTTTAAACGTTTTGTCCCGATACGAAAGTTCTCACCACCAGGTGTGCAGCTCAATGCTTGCTTTAACGCTCAAAGTCCCGCTTCGACAGTCGCTATTATACGTCGACTCACTCGTATGTGTTTCAAAAGCCGCGTAATTAACTTGTAGATGAATTTACAAGATGATGATATTGTAGACCTCCCTTCAGAGGTGATCTCAAAGTCCACGGTTCGAATCATAAGGGCCGGTTGAAAAAGAAGTCTGCGGTTTATTCAAAATGCTAATTTCTACTTTCAGGAATTTTTCGCATCTTTGAATGGGGAGAAGAGACCAAAAATTCTCATGCTGGGATGCGTGCTGTAAATGGATTAGGTATTTACGGAGGTGAGGTTTCCACGAGACAAAATTCAAATAAATTTGCAGTGGCTGGAGCATCCAAAAGGCGGGAAAAGTACCAGAGGGTAATTCATTACGTCTGAACGCCGGATTCAGGAACCTTCCACTGTAAATATGAATGGAACGGCGAAATATTTCAGATGAAACATCTAAATCCATAGTCAACGCTCCACCAAGTAACTAAACTACGCAGGAAAAAAAGTGGAACAGATGCTGGAGGAAACTAGTAGATGAAACTTCCCTGTGCTGTTTTGCTGCTCTGCATGCCACTGAACGGATGGGTACTAGGTGAAATTTTTTTTTTATTATTATTGTTTTCTGCCTGTTCTCAAAAATAGACAAATTTAAGATAATCTTATTAGTAAAGGGGAACAAGGAAGGAGATTTGAGTTCGAGTGGATAATTTTTACTTTCTTGCTCCTCTTCGAGTCGAGGAATTGTCAAAAGAAAAAAAAAAAGGGTTGAAATTCTATCATTTTCAGTTTTGAGTGCGTGTTACCGTGTCACACAAGATAGTCTTTAAATTTCCAAAGGCAAATCCTGATCCGTGGAAACGCTTTCTTTCAACTGATCGGATTTTAGTTTCCTCTTTGAAAGAGATGTAAATGAAATTATTCGCAGTGCAAAACTGTGCGATTTCACTTTCGACCCTGAGACCGAGGGTTTTATTACAGATCCGGGCACACTTCAATAACAATATAATCTAGGCGTTAAATGTAAATATCTTGAGTCATAAAAACAAGTGGAAAATGATGGGAAAGAGGGTCACGGTGAAAGTAGCCCCGGAAAATAAGACCGATAAACAGCGCGAGAACTCGACAAGGCGAAGAGTGGGTTAGTCTCTCGATATGGGGGTCGGATCTTGCCTCGAAGTTGCCATAATACCCGCAATTTATTATTTTGCACATGCTCGGGAAAACATGCGATAACCACAATCCTTAATTCCAGTCCATCGAATATATTGATATTTAACGAGAATTTTTATGACTGAACAGGGGAAAATTTCCCCCCAAATTAATTTTTTTATGATTTTTAGGACTATCCTATCTTTGAACCTTCAAACCCTCCTTGGAAAATTTTTGATCGGCGAGTGCCCCTTTTGAAAAATTTTTGGCTACGCCATACAGTGGATCGAGTCAATAGGAGAGGACGGACAAAATTTGGAAACTTTAAACGCTTATAACTCCGTTTATACAAAACTTTAAGGTTCTAAAAGTGGTTTCATTATTTTTCTCGTGAAATTTTCTGCTAGAAGCACTCTTCAACATTTAAAATGTGACGAAATATACGTCAAAATTTGAAGTATTAGTCGAAAATGTCACGTCCGATCTCTCCCATTAACGCGGTCCACTGTGCGCCACTATCAGACCAGAGACGGATTATTACGAATTTTTGAATATTTATTACATCTATCTTCCAAATTCTTTGTAAAGACGTTAATAGCCCAGGATGCTGAATGTCTATAAATAAGATAACTAACGAACTAACAAACTAGCTTAAGAACAACAAAGTATTAACCTAACGAATTGGTATACGATTGACGATGTAAGATTATCAACGATGCCTACGATCTCTCTCGTATTCTCTTCTGTGAAGAAAAGAAGCTCTAAGTTCAGCTCGAAGGATAGAAACTTACGAAACCCCAAACTGAGCCTCATCATTAAAAGATGGAGCGGTTTTTTCATTTTCCTGGAGCGCTGTTGGAGTGACGAATATAGCTCGCAGAAAAAACCACAGGCTGGGAAAATTCAGTGAGAATATTGACTTCTGAGGAACTCTTCTTGCACGCACTGGCTTGATGATCATATTCAAGCTGTCAGAATTATTTCGCCCGAAAGTTCGTTTACTCATTCTCAGTCTGCAGTCACGATCGCAAAACGCACGTACACATCCATTAAGCAGATGCGCGATGGAGCAAGGAAAAGAACCTGCTTTTCTCCGGTAATGATTACCAAAAAAAGGAAAATGGTAAAAAGCTCTACGACTTCTTTTTTCATAGAACTGGGACAATAGATCCTATGACTGGAAGAGAAAGCAACAAAGATTCGTATTCTTTCTTCGCAACAAAACGAATGGAAATCGACAGTAAAAACTGACCCATTTTTTTACATATCATTAATTTTACGTTGAATTCGCGATAATTGAAATAGTTTTAAGGCTGATTTGCAATTTAAAGTGGTATCTAAGGCCATAGCGGTTATTATATCAGCTGCGCGGTCTATTCTATATTATCTCTTTTTGAGGTCTTATCGCACCAAATTTCAAACTTGAAGTAGCTATATTTTATGGTTCCTAGAGTAAATGGGGTTGATTTCCTTGTGAAAAAGCTGAACAATTAAGGAAAGGGTGCTAATTCTGTAAGCTCATTGAGACGTTTGTGATCATCCAATATGCTATTTTACACATGTTCGGGTCAAAGTATAGGAGGACATCAAAATTTTATTTGAACAAATGACTCATTTCTGGGATAAGTTTTGAGGCGAATTTGTTCTTCCCTGTTGATGGCTTGCTTCTGAGACTGTCCACACTGTGGAAAA